ATCGCCTCAATTCTGCTCCTATGACTTTCTATTGAGTTGTCTAATTCTGAAACTTCATTGTTAATCTTCTGGCTTTCTGTTTGCTGTCTCTCTATGGATTCTTGCAGCCTGTTAAATTTGTCATTGTGCTCTTCTGTAATCTTCATAAGTTCCTCTATTGCTCTGTCTGTATATTCCTTAGCTTCTTCTGCATTTTGCATGATCTCCTTCCTGATCTCTTGAAGAGCAGATGGTTAGATCTGTTACTAGGTATGTGAGCACAGGAGTTCGTTTACTTTTCTTGTACGGATTCAGCTCAGGTGTCCAGATAGTCAGTCTCAAAGTGCGTAGTGCAGGCTCTCACCTACAGTCCTAGATGGGCAGGGGTGATTGGAGTAGGCATGGGTATCTGGCTGCAGTAGGGGGTCATGCGCTGAGTAAGGCAGGGGGCTGACGGCTGCCCCTGAGTGTCTGGAAGGAAAGTGTGTCCCTGTTCCCTAGAGTGTATAGGTGGGTGAGTTTTGCTATGGGCACTAACGCTGTTGGCCGTAAGGACTGGGAGGCACTACTTATTCTGGGACCCCTTTTGCAGGTAGTTAGGTAGCTTGGGTGCATCCACCAGTCCTCAGGCCCCTGATATGGGTAGGTGAGGACCCTGCTTAATGGGCAGAGCGGTGTCAAATGTCATGAACCTACCACTCCACCATACAGCTGATAAAGTGAAGTTAGGCTTCAGGTATATACCCTGTCATACTGTGCTGATGAGGGCCTATGCTGTTAAAATGGGCCCACACAGGTCTGTGCAGGGGTGAAAGGCATTCAAAGCCTATGGACCCCTTATGCCTGTGCCTAGGCAAAGGAGCTGTGCTTGCCCCAAGTTGCTTGCTTAGGGGAGCTGGCAGATTATTTTTTCCTGTTTGTTAATTGTTCCCTCTCCAAGGCCAGGAGAATGGCTCAGGGTGCGTGATGGGTCCTACTTCTGGCCCAGGGGAAGCAGCAATTGCTGAGGCTTGTCCAGGACCTGGTGCAGAGCAGGGAGGGAGCAGGTAAATGGGAGAGGTTCTTCCCAAATGGGGTGGTTTCTTCATCAGAATGGTAGGTTAAATGCATGCAGTTAACGTTTGCTGATTGAGCACTGCTTTTCACTGGCTCTGGAGGCCTGAGCAGATTCTTTGTCGCTCGGTCTCTCTCAATGTGGAAAACTCGTCCCGAACGCCACTGCCCGCCTCACTGAGCGTGCCAGCTGACCTCACCTGCATAGTGCTGGCTCCTGCCCGGTCAGCTCTGGCAACTCCTCATTGATTCTGAACCGTCTCTCCCTTCCCCTGCCAGTCCATCCGATTCTTCAACTTTACCTTTGATATTCAGGGCTCCTAGATTATTATATTTAACTGATTCACTTGTTTTTTTTGGGTCTTTGTTGTAAGGGGGACCACCAGAAGCATCTGACTACTCCACCATCTTGGCCCCGCCTCTTCTGAAGCTGTGATCTTGTTGGTCCATATGAGTATACACCTGCCAGCACTGGTGCACTCGCTCTTGCTTCGAAATACAGAACACAAAGCTTAGGCTGCTCTTCTCTGGTCTCTGCCGCAGAGGTCACGGATGAAGCAGAGAATGAATGAGGTTTGCAGGCTTCAATTGTAGTCAGGTGGAAGGGAGGCATCCCAGGTGTTAACAGGCTCCCAAACCTCTTTACTGTGAATGGCTTTTGTGCAATACAAGTGTAATTTCTCAAGGTTTTTCTAAGCCTTTGACAAAAGCAAAGACCTTGGGAGAAAAACAAAACCTCCCCAGGCACTTCTGCAGCACAGATAGCAAAAGAACTGTAATTAAGGAACAGGTCATTTCACTTTCAAAAGCAAATCACTCTAATCCAGGGAGGTTTGATTTTCCTCACATAAACTGCATGATAAGTGGGCCCAGAGAATAGTAAATAAGGAGTCCTAAAAACTTTTTTTTTTTTTTTTTTTGTGGGGGAAAAACACCTCCAGTATCAAGATGCAATAGGGGCTAAAATGTATGGTAAAACATCTAAAGGATAACCATCCTTGATGCTAGCAATTGAGCAGGGGTGGTGATAGTGAGTGGGATGGTGATACTTCCAAGAGGACTTTTCAAAAAGATGAATGAAAACAAGCAAACAAACAAATAGATGAATGTCTTAGAGATTTTTTGATAATTAGCTGGGAATAGCTGATTTTGTGATAAACTATTTACATGTTAATGTAAAATATTAGATCTCTTCCAAGCCTTTACCTACTATACGTAGTATAATGGACTAAATCAGGTGCTACTTCATTAATGCCCTCCAGGTTTTCCCATTATATGCTTCTGTTTTTCCCAAAGCACATCCTCACTGTCCAACTCACCCTCCCTCCACTCCCTTCACAGCTAGACATCTCAAAAGAGTTGTCGATACTCACTGTCTCCATTTCTGCACTTCTAACTCACTCCATAATCACTCCAATTTGGCTTCCTACTCCATTGCTCCATGGAAACAAAGGTTACAATTTAGTGCTACAATTTAGTGCCTCTAAGTTCAGTGTCACTAAATTCAATGAACCTTTTTGAGGTCCTCATCTCACCTCTCCTTTCGGAAGCATTCTACATTGTACAGCACTTGCTTCTCTTTCCATGGTTTTTGTGCTCCAAATTCCTGATTTTCCTTCCTTTTGTTCTCTGGTTCATTTGCAGATGCTTATACATGAATGTATAAATTAAATCTTCAAAATGAAATCTTCAGCCCAGATCTTTTGATTAAGCTCCTAATTTCCCTCTTGAAATCTTAAATGTCTTAAAGGCATCTTAAAATGCAATATAATCAGAGATAAATTAATAATTTTCTTCACAAAACTTGCTCTTTTTCAGAGTTCCCTTTGCAAACAAATGGCATTCCTTCCATCTTGATACACAAGTTAGAAACTGAGATGATAATATTTGACTACTTCCCTGCTTCCATATTCAACTCTTCATCATGTTATTTGCCTTCCAAATATGTCCACCAGCTACTCTCTAACTCCACCACATCCTAGTCCCCAAGCTACCACTGTCTCTTGCTTGCACTACCATAACAGTACCCTAACTGGTCTAACCACAGTTATCCTGACCCGGCTCTAACCTCTTATCTACACTGCAGCCAAAGGGATCTTCTCAAAACACAAATCTGATCACGTTACTCTCTCTGGCTAACACTTTTCAACGGCTTCTATTTTTAGGATGAAGGCAAAAAGGCATAGTATGGCCTATATTCTCCAACTTTATTTCACCCATGTTCTCCCTATCATTTTTCTGTTGTAGCTATATTGGTTATCTTCTTTCAGCCCCTTTTTGCTCACCACGTTCCTTCTGCCACAGGGCTTCCCTGGAGGTCTTCATGCTTGGTAAAGTAGAGGGTCAGCGAAAAAGAGGAAGACCCTCAACGAGATGGACTGACACAGTGGTTGCAACAATGGGCTCAAACATAGCAATGATTGTGAGGATGGCACAAGACTGGGCAGTGTTTTGTTCTGTTGGGTTACTATGAGTCAGAACCAATTCAACAGTACTAACAACAAATTTCTTCTTTTTGGATTACTCTTCTCTTTCTCAGCTAGTTAATTCCCATTCATCCTTCAAATAGTAACCCAAAAATTATTTCCTTAAGGAAGGCTTTCCTAACCTATCTGACTAGGTTTAAAATACATACAACAACTCCCTACAAGATGGGCCTTTCATAGACCTTTTTTTTGGTAGCACTCAAGAGATTTATAATTTTATACTGTATAGATAGCCTCCAACCTATGACAGACTCATTTGAACCTGTTCCAACAACTCCGTCGTAAGTCGGTTCTGATGTAAGTCAAATACCTCTTTTCTTTAAGTTTTCATTATGATTGCCTTTTATTATCAGTATCTTTATAAATCTGATCTTTATTTGTCTTTAGGGATTGGAGACACTACATATAAACTTACAGATACATTTTAATACATACCTACATACACACACGCATATTACTAATAGATACACAAGGAAAAAAAAAAAACAGATGGTCCTTCAAGCACAGCTTGTCTTCTTCCTAGACTGTAAGCAGAAAACGTATATATTTGCTTACCATTGTGGAAGTAGCACCTGGAAATGTATGGACTGTAGTAGGTGTTTAATAAATATTTATTAAATTAATGAATGTGAGCTATATCATAGGCTATGGCGCTCATCTTAGAAAGGCAAAACATACCATGCAGTCTTTAGAATGTGGGTTAGACTAGATGACCTTTTTAGTTCCTACCAAAACGGGGAGGTTTTGATGTCACATTTGAGGCTAAGGACACAGACTATAGAGCCAGACTATCTGGCTTCACCAAGTGGCTTCACCACCTACTAGGTGGGTGGTTACTAGGTGATATCACCATGCCCCAGTCTTCTAGCCTGAATAGAGTTGTTGTGAGGATTAAATGTATAAATAAGCTTAAAGCACCAAGAACACAGTCTGGTATAAGGTAAATAGTATTTAAATATTAGTTGTATTTGTTATTATTGTTATTCGCAGAATAGCAATAAAAAATGACTTAATGCCCTAAATTAAAAGCCGACACCAAAACTTGGTTTCAGAACACCACGAGCCAGAGGAACCTTAGTAAAATATTGATTCAAGTTAAATAATCAGTATTTAACACCTGAGGTTGTAGTCAGTTAGCTGCTTCACTGCTTCTTTGATATGCCATGTTCAGCTCTTACTGATTATTCATTACCCATTTCAGAATGTCTGAGGCTCACTCATCCTAGCTCAAGTTTAAAAAATGTGCATAAACACTTTCATTTGTGACTGCCTCAAGTGGAGAAACAGCCAGTTCGACTTAGCTGGAAACTTGTGACTAATGTATAGCTATAGCATGATCACTTGTTCCTGGTTATGCATGGCCACAGAGCTGCACATCAGATACCTTTTTCCAGATTCTGAGGATAGGAGTTTCCTCTGGCCTCCTAATTCTGAGCAGCTTTTTCTAAGGCTCTCAGTAATGCTTTAAGGTAGATCACTTACACTGAAGTCTGTTTTCTTTTCCAGGCTATGGTATAAAACGTAGAGGGAGAGAAGCTGGGTAGAAGGCACCTCAAAGTCTTCTTGCATCATGATCTCAAAAACCACCGATAAAGCATCTGGCAAGAAGATAAAAATAAAAATGAGATAAAATTAGTTGTAAGTGACATCATCAAATCTGTACTTAACCATAAACATTCTTATAGTTAAACTACAATGATAACCACTCTTAAAAAGTGGGGCATGGTAGAAAATATGTAGAATTAAGAAGTAAAAAATAAGCCTTGTTCTCGTTTTTCCACAAACTAGGTCTCTTCCAGCTTTTAGCTTCTATTGTACATACTATAGGACTAAATCAGGTGTTTTACACCAATGTGTAGTCTGCTGTAATCCTTACCTTTCCTTGCCCTTCCCTACTATGGCAGGAAGCTAGAAGCCACTTTATATAAATTTCATTGGATCAGAGAATTTTGGGAGTAAAGAGATCTCAGAGGTCACCTACCCACTTATTTTACAGATGTGGGAACTGAAGCCCAGGGAGGTGAAAGACTTACCTTCATAGTTAGTGCACAGCTCTCTCCATGGTAGGTCAACTGATTGTACAGTTTGACATTTTACATACTATGACAACTGTGATTAAGTAAAACAAAGTTTGTTTCATAGTAAATGGTGGTATAAAAACAGTCAAGGAAATAAACACTTACTATAATCTTAAGGGGCCATGGAAGGCCAAGTAAGGCCTATTGCTTAACTACATAAATTCACTGCGTTGCCTAAAGAAACAGTACAAATAAACTTGAGAAAATGTAGAGGAAAAAATAACAACTGGCCCACTGGTATGGTAAATCAACTACATATCTATTTCTTTTTTTTTAATGCATCTATTTCTGACTGAAATAGTCATGTAAAGAGATGGCAACAAGATAAAAAAGGAGGATAGTGCCTACATGTATTTATTTCCCTTGAGGAGCTGAAGTCCCATAATAACTGGCCCTGGGTTTGGTTTCTTACCTTTGTAATTTTCTTTCTTTATGAAATAATCCATCAGTATATTGAATGTAAAGTTATCAGGAAAAATTCCATATTGAACCTATAATGAAGATAAAAGGGAAAAAAGAAAAATCTTCTCTTGAATTCAGTCTGTAATATATGTCTACGTATTTTCAGGATAAAACTTGCCACCATTAGCTTTAAAATATTTGACTATTATTTTCCAGCATCTGTGACAGTGAAATAGAAGCTGTGACTTATGAGTTTTGGTAACTGGAACTGTTGGTCAGGGTGAGAAAGTTGTGAGCAGGTGTCTCATATTTAAGAAAATTGATATGTGAAAAAATAAAGCTCATTTCTAACACTTCATCATACTACCAAAAAAAAAAAAAAACAAAAACCCTACTGGTGCAGTGATTCCTTTTATGAGCTGTGAATATCACTGCAAAAATGAACTCTCATGAGAAAGCACACATTATGCAACATTTTCTGGTCCTTAGACCGGTTTTTAAAGACCCTATAATATGCCAATAAAATATTTGCTACTAACCAAGCTCCTAGGATACTGTATTCAGAAGCAACTGAATATTTGAGAATCTAGATTTTTCAAAATGTGGATGCTTCGGAATTTTGTACGAGTGCTTTGAATAATGCATTACAGAATCTCTGGGAATGGGGCCCAGAAACCTGAAGTTTTAGTGAGCTTCCCATGTGATTTTCATGCACATTCAAGTTTGATCACCAATGATCTAGATGAGGTTGTGTTTCTGCATTTTTGTTTTAAGTTCTTATTTCAGTGGGACTGGCCACCATGTGCCACACTGCCCCATTCATCCCCACCAACTACCAGAAACACGTGAGGAATTTTTTCAAACCATACCCACTCCCTTGGGATATTCTGATACAGTCCTAACCCCTAGTTTCGAATCACTGCTGATTTAAGTCAGTTCTAATAGACATGCATGGGATCCTCCACATGCTGAAACGGAAAAAAAAAAAAAAAGTTTAAAAGCCACTGCTTTAAAGATTGTACCCCTGGGCAGTATCTGTATTTCTCAAAGAAGTCATACAGACTAGCACTGATTCCTAGGGGCAGGGAAAATAAAATATTTTAGAATGAAAAATCATTAGAGTTGGAAAGGGTCTTAGGTTCTCAATCCTGGGGCCTTCCATTTCCTCATCTTGAGATTCAAGGCCATCACCTAAACAGTTCTCATCAAGGGACCTAGCTCTTTCTAGCCCTCCCCTAAACACACTTTTTTTTTTTTTCCAGTTGCCATTGAGTCGATTCCAACTCATGGCATCTCCATGTTTTCTGAGTAGAACTGCCCTTCATAGCGTTTTTATGGCTATGACGTTTTGGAAGCATTTTCACAAAAGTATTGCTAAAATCTTGTTATGATTTGAACTAGTGTTATAGTTTAAAACCCACAATAATAATATTTTAAACCTTTGCTTATTTTGGACTTTATTTCATATTATACAGGTAATAAAGACTCAACCCTCAGACAGAGTATGATGTTCAGAAAGATCCTAATCATCAGGGTTCTTGGGCTTTAGAGTAGGAAGCAGGGAACTCAGAAGATACATTATGAATAACCTAGTATCACTGTCTTTTTTATCTGTGAAGATAGTCTTAATACTCTGGAGATCACATTCCAACAAAAATGGTCATGTCTTCTCTTCTTCTCTAAACTTCACCAAGGGGAACGGGGCAAGACATCCAAGGCTTAAAGATCAAGGATGAAATGGCCACCAGGGCAGAGTTCTTCTGATTGGATTACCTTTTGCTTTTACCTATTGTTATGGATTGAATTGTGCCTCCCCAAAACATGTGTTGTAAATTCTAACCCCTATACCTGTGGTTATAATCCTATTTGGGAATGGGTTTTCTTTGTTATATTAATGAGACAGCATTAGTGTAGGGTATATCTTAAGACAATCTCTTCTGAGATATAAATGAGATTAAACAAGCAAGTGAGCAAGCAGAGATGGGGGAAGAGAAATACCACGTCACACGAAGATCACCTAGGAGCAGAAGTTCAAAGAGACAAGGACCTTCCTTCAGAGCTGACAGAGAGAGAAAGCCTTTCCCTAGAGCTGGCACATGAATTCAGATTTCTAGCCTCCCAAACTGTGAGAAAATAAATTTGTTTGTTAAAGTGATGTACTTATGGTATTTCTGTTATAGCAGCACTGGATGATTAAGACACCTATCCATTTCTGAGTCAGTAGGCTTGGAAAAGCAGCAACCACAGGAATTTTTATTTTTAATTTGTAGATTGATATCCAGTCCCTTTCCAAAAAGGATTATCTGGAATTCCAAAAAGGATATCTGGGAGTAAATAATTTTCAAAAATCATTTCTTGTACTATTCTTTGCTGTACTGTCATAGGTACAAACATCACATCATCTAAAATCAGGAAAACAAGCTGCAGATGCCAGGAAACCACTCACCTTATTTATAAGGGTATATAAGGCTTTGTCTTGTGCACCATATTTTAGACATTGTCTAATCCAAGTGTGGATAGTCCAGTCTCTCAGGTACCAGCAGTTGGGGCTGTGTCTAAATCTAAAAAAAACAATAAGAAGAGAGAAAACTGGTGTTAACTCTTAAATGTCAATGTCAAAGCACATTTTCCATCAGCAGGTCCTCCTCCCAGATATTTACAGAGGTTCATCGAGGTGATCAACAGCCAAAAAAGTCAAAAGTCATTAAAAACTTGAGGATGAAACTCATTGACTGTAAAGTCTGAAATGGGAAAGAAAAGGCAAAATAACGATAAATAACAAAAATACCATAAAAATTTTATTCCTTATTCAACACCCCTCTGCTTCAAACCCTTGTTTTACTATGAGATTTATGCAAAATGATTTGGGGAAAACACTCTACTGATGAAATACATATTTCATCAGAAAAGAGATATGAAGCTGAAGCTGACACTTTGGAAGTTTAAAATAAAACAGATGAAACAAAAATGAAAAACAGAATAGCACAGTAACTCTGGAGGGAAATAAGCTTTGAGTGATACTGATATTTCTTATGGTGCTTAGGAGAGAATAAGCCACTCCTCACTGAACCAAAAGAAAACAAAAAAAGAAGAAGAAAAAAAAAGCTGAGCAAACAGGCTGGCAAAATCTAACATTCAGCCCCTCCAGGATCCACAATCCCTCCTCCTCCTTCTAGCTCCGTTCTTTAGTCTTTCCATCTCCTCTCCCTTCCTACAGATCCCCAGATCTTGAAAGTCTTAGCAGCTCAGGCTGAAGTGTATCTATTAATAGCATTTCCACAAAGGAATGGTACTTGGAGACAATTCTGAATGCTGCTCTTGCCTTGCGTTCACACATACTGGTAACACCTGGGGTTGAAGCAACTTCTCCTTGTTCCTCGGAGTCCAGGCCAAAGACTCAGAGCTGAAACAGGGCTGTGGGGAGGGTCTGTGATCCTTCTTTTTTGGTATCTGTTTCAATTGGGACAGATCCTCATACATGGTCTCATGTCAGCTGAAGTTGCCAGCTTTTCTTTAACCATTCAGGAAACAGGTCAACTTCTGGGCTCCATTAAAATCAAACTATTTTCTCAAGAAAAAAAAAAAAAAAGGGTAAGAAAAAAAACGTGGAGCCAAAGGATTCTGTGCCTTATCTGAGAGTCAAGGATACAAGCTAATATTAGTGTTTTTAGAGGCTGATTAATTCAATCTGCCACCTGCTATTTCCTGTTACCTGCTATTGGGATAGTTTCCTGCTGAACAGGTTCTCTGCCAAAGTAAAAGCCAAGAAAAGGAGAGGAAGTGAGAAGCAGTATTTAATTTAGGCTATTTATTAGTGCTCTGGTGTGAGACTTGGCAAAAATAAGATAGGATCATCTAGCTCTCCCCATTCTTTCGAATATCTTAGGTTTGGCTGCTAACTGTTTCTCTAGCTCAAATTTTTTGTACAGAATTAACTCCTTTATAAGCAGAAAGATAGAAAGATGTCAAATTATGTTCAGGATGAGAGTGAGCTGGCCAGAGAAAGGCATTGTACAGGTGGCCTAGATACTAGACCTAATAAGCTCTTCTCACAGAGATAAAAAAAAAAATACCTTCTAGTATCTCATGTTTTTCCTCATGTTTTCAAATCAATAGTTGAGCTACTTGAGCTCTTCTCCTTGTTACTCTTAAAAATAGGAGATTTAAAAGTTTTAAGGCCAATTAAAAGTTAATTTTATCTTTTTAAATAAAAAAGTCAAGTGGAATACCAGTCCAAAAAATGAAATGGTAGTGATGCTTCCTCATTAGCCTGTACGCTCCTTGGTAAGTAGGGCCTGTCACAGCATAATTCTTGGCCTATAGTAAGTATTCAGTAGATAAAAAAGCTTCAATCAACACATTTATTAAATGGTATTACACACTCATCATTTTGTTAACATCTGTGGTATATATGAAGAATCTCTGAGTCATTTGTAATCTCATCACAAAGTATATACATATACAGAAATAGTTTAACAATAATACAAGATAGGATATAATACATGCTAAAGATACAAAAGGGACTGCTAGATGCTAGAGGTTTTTCCGGTTGTAGTGGTTATTAGTTTAGTACATTTTTTCTAAAAACAAAACAAAAACAAACAAATAAAAAACAAGGAAACAAGCAAACAAAATAAAAAATGGCAATTACCCTCTTTACCTATGATTATTTAAAACCTAATCCTCACCTGAAAGCTAATCCTCTGCCTTAGGATACCTCTAATGACCACTAACATTATACTTTTCTTTTTGATGGGCATTAAAATAAGACTATCATGACCATATCCTACCAAATATCCTTTTCTCTTATTCATGATCAGCAGACTGTTTTCAGGCTTTGAACAAGAATAAACAAAGATTGATAGACAGAACTTAGCTGTAGACCTTCAAAGCTCAAATTAAAATTTGTTTAAAGTCATTTGCTAATCTTCTGTGTCTAACTACAACATACTGAGGAAGAGAAAAGTCTTTCCTTTTTAAAGGCTTCCCTTCTCACACTTTATTCCTTAGGAGCCTAAAGGGAAAGTTATTCAAGACTTTACCCATCTAATATAATCATTTCCTCACAGCCCCCCTTTGAGAGATTTGTCAACAGTCTCACAGAGGCTTTTAATAAATCTCATCCCTCTCCCACTCTGGAACAGGGCTACCTGGTATGATCTCTGCTCTCTAAAGATCATAATCCACAACCATGTCTAGGGCATTTTCAACTGACAACATTAAATTGATTTAGGAATAACAGTGAAACCCTCACAGATACATTATGAAATATGCTGCCCAAAGTGCAATTCCTACATTTTCCAGCTGGGCAGCAAATGAACTCCTTCTTAAACCTCTATCAGTGTTACAAAGAGAAATTAGCACTCAACTTATAAGAGTGGTCTTCTAGAATGTAAGCAAAACACAAAATACTGGGGTAGTAGGGCTCAATTTTGGATGGATAGTTCTGAGAATTTTTTTGACAATGACTTTATAAGCAGTTCAGGCAGAACCTGGGCCCTTTTCAGAACTGCCAGCAGGTAAGTCTCTGGAAGGGGCACTTGCTTGGAATGATTCTGAGGGCTGCTGGATGAGTATTCTTCCTTTCAGCCAGAAGAAAGGCAAATAGGCAAGAGCACAACCAACACATTGATTTTCCAATGTGCCTGCAAACAGACGGGCTTTGTTCTCGCCTGCTCTGACCACCAGCCTGGCAGATTACAGACGGCCACTGTAGGAGTCCCCTCTGTGCTCCATGCCATCAGCTGTTTGTTCACCTCAACAGAAGCTTTATTATTGCGCAGGCCAGCAGGCTGCCAAGTTAGGCAAACCTTGTGAGTATGGACAAGATAAACAAATGAAACCCAAATAACCCAACAATGCTTGTGCTCATGAAGGCAAGAGACATTCTGAGCTTCTATTTTATCAAATGTGAATAAACTTACAACAATCTCAGACATGTGTATTTCTTGGAGGAAGGAGGCGCACAAAAAGGAGGAGGAGATGAAGAAGTGTGCTCTCAAACTCCAGCTCTAGTTCTAAAAGCCAGTATCCCATGGCTGAAGAGACCTCTGTCCACAGCGCTGAGTGGGGTTTCCAGGTGAAGACAGAACTAGCCTAGGAAGCCAAATCATGACCAATCCAATGGCAAGAACTGAGAAGCTTCCTCTCCTCAAAAATCAGGCTATATTCAGAACTCTTCAGCACATTCACCTGTTGCTCATCCAAGACTGATGTCATAGGGAAGCAAGGACAGCAGAATCACAGGCTGCAAAACTGACCCAGGAGCAAAAGTCTTGGAAACCTTAGAGATTTCTTAGAAGGGAAGAGAGGTTATATAAAAGAAGTTAAGAGTGAAAAGAAAAACACCAGAGGTTGTGTAAAAGTCACATGAGACTTCTTATGTGTGACCAACTCATTTCATAAAATAAAGGTGGCTGGGGGAGGATTCAAGTAAAGGCTCTATTATGGTTGAATGGCACAAGTGGCAATGCTCAGCTCTTTCAATATCACAAATAACACTGCTCCAGGCTGAGCAGGACTACTGTATAGATGCCAGAGCCTGCAGCCCAGGGGCTCCACCATTTAGCTGCAGCACTGGCTCTTCCATATGAATGAGCAAGCTTTCCACAACATTTATCTGATTATGAGAGCCACCAACCTTAAACATACACAAGCAGCTTTCCTCGCTCCCTAGTGAATTCTGTATCCTATGGCAACAGGCTTTCCAGATGGAAAACTCAGCCCCTTAGCTGGATAGACATGGAGATGGGTGAGGGTAAAAGGAAGGAAGAAAGAATGCCAAACTGGCTTTAAAGCTTGTAGCGTGGACTGGTCATCTTAACAATGAAAAAAAGTCTGCAAATATTAAAAAGTTTGAGAGTTTCCCTAAACTGGAATCAAAGAGTTAAAGGGTATCATGTGACTACTTAAAAATCAGAATCTGATCCAATCACTGCTATCCACTTTCTTTTGATTCCTGATGGAAACTCTTCTTTTATCAATTATTAGTTGCCCCCAACTCCCACAAATAAAATCAAAATTTGATAATTCTCTAATGAATATATTTTTGTCAAATGTTTAAAAAAGAGGGCAGAGGAGTCCCTGGGTAGGACAAATGGTTAAGCGTTTGACTACTAGGTGAAGGGTTGGTGGCTTGAACCCATCAGAGGCACCTTGGAAGACAGGCCTGGAGATCTGCTTCTGAAAGGCCACACCCTTGAAAACCCTATGGCATGCAGTTCTACTCTACACACATGGGGTCGCCATGAGTCAGAACTGACTTGACAGCAACCACCACCACCACCACCAAGTGTCCTAAAGGAATCTAGGATCACCTTAAAGAATCCTAATCTGAACAAAAAAAGGGCATTAAGTCCAATGCCGCTGAGTCAATTGCGACTCACAGTGACCCTATAGAACCGGGTAGAACTGCCCCATAGGGTTTCCAAGGCTGTCAATCTTTACAGAAGAAGAATGCCACATCATTCTCCTGAGGAGGGGCTGGTGGGTTCGAACTGCCGACCTGTTGGTTAGCAGCTGAGTGCTTAACCACTGAGCCACCAAAGCTCCTAGAGTCTAA